CTACAGAACTTATTACTTGGCTTGGAGGGCTGTTTTATATAGCAAATCATATAGAATCGAACCGAGAGGCCTACTGGAATCGTTCTTTCGGCGAATTTACGCACCATTTAGGTCGCTGGATGTCAGAAACTCGCTGGGATTAAATTCATCGATTCATTACCTTTGGCGCTACGCTACGCAATAACCGCAAGGATTAGTGGTCTCCAATTGAGCCTCTAGCGAGTCGAATACGTGATAACTGCAAAATGGCTGTCAAACCGTCAAATTAGGTGGCGGTTAATAAGGCAATGGTCGCCTTTACAGGTCGTTCAAAACACGTGGTTAACTTGCCGTCAAAACCCATACCAAAGGGCTATAAAATTTGGTGTTTGGCACTCAAAAAAGGCTATATTTAGTCCTGGCGTTGGCACTCCAAAGTGTCAGGTCCTGAGGGCACCAAAAAAGGTCGTTGGTTTGATCAAATGGAAGGGATGCCACGGATTCAACATGCCGTGACCTTTCAGGTGCCTCAGGACCTTTGTCAGGAACTCATCGACTATATACCAGGGCGGAAATACGTGGTCTTTCTAGATAACCTGTTCCTAACAGTGGAACTCGCGCATTCATTACTCAAAATCGGTGTTAGCGTAATGGATACAACACGTAAAAATCGCGAGGGTTTTCCACAGCGATTTCTCGACGCCAAACAGTCTAACGCTCAATTCACTTACGGATCATGCTCTACAGAGGTCGTTGATTATTACCTATACTTTCTTTGGCAGGATAACGCTAAAGTACTAGGCATTTCGACCGCCTTTACTATATATAAGGATTAAAAGGACTATATTATTAAACGCCGCAAGAGACCATCGAATAACTCCGTCGGCGCGGCAGAATTTGGCGGTAAACCTACTAAAGACCTCCCTATACTAAAAGCCATTGATTCATATAATTACAATCACAATCTGGTTGATAATACGGATTATTTGCGGTCTAATTTTACGGTCGAACGACGAGGGGAGACTAGGACGTGGCGTCCACTTACATTTTGGCTTTTGGACGTTTGCCTAATCAATTCGTACCTAATCTGGATGACGGCGCAACCGCAGGATGTCATAAAATCGAATCATTCCCATCGTTGGTTCCGTGAGGAGTTGTTCCGTGAGATGTTTACATATAAGGACCCTACGCCGTCACCACCAATTTCTCCTGCTAGGACGCGTTTTACGAGTAAACACCATATCGTGAGGATGCCTCTACGCGCGCACTGCGCGTATTCAATTACTCAAGGCGGTGACTGCATTGGTGGCAGTGTAACAGTGGTGGAAAGGCGGAGGGATGCACTAGCACCAATCGATGGGAATGCTCTACGGAAAAGTCGCGCCATTCGGTCAAAACGCACCCAATTTGGATGCTCTTTTTGCCAAAAGCATCTCTGCATCAATACGGGTTGCTACACCAAGTTTCATGCAAAACTACATAGAAACCATGCTGTAGGAGACATTTAAATAAGTGGTATTGTCAAAATCGATGTTTTTAAATTTAGTTGGGGTCACGCCAAGAAAAAAAGGTCACATGCCGACGGCTCATGGGATAATAGTCCTTCTCCGAGCTTAAGTAGGGCAACTTCACAACTCGGTGTTTCCTTCTAACTCCAAAGCCACTAAAGCGACAAGATAACTCAAACCACTCGAGTCAGAGAGAGAGCACAGCTATCTCGATGGCCTAACTTGTTAACCAAGTTAGTCAAGTCTCAATAAGACAGGATTATGACACCCTAGATTTTACCTGATGAATTAATATTTACTGGCTTCGAGGTCCTATTCCGCAAGGGTTTTGGACTGCAAACAAAATCTCGGAATGCAGGCTCGAAGGCGACTTTCATCCTTCCCACCTCCAGCACAGCACCTACATATTAATCTTGCATACACACAGCTGGAGTAGATTATGTCTCTCAATTCAAAAACAACGCTTAATGTCATCGAGGAGGGGGTCATGGGAATCATTCAAATGACTCCAAATGGCCCTGTCTGGGAACTTCTATGGTCTTTGTTCCATTTAGTGTCGCAGTTGAGGCAGGTCTAGTGTTACAAGTCAGCATTCTGCCATGCTTGAGTATTCCTGGTTGCCAGAGTAAAATTGTAGTTGCTGTCGATCCAGTGCGGACTCAACCTCGGCAATCCTGCCCACACGGTCGCTGCTCGGCTTCCTCAAGGCGCCTGCGCCCGACCCTACCTGCGTTAACTCCGTTTGGTCTTGTTCCAATTCTCGACGATGAATGATCAAGATATTCAAGTGCTCCGGATAACGATCCCATTCTTTGTGGCTCCTCTGCGTTTAGAACGTTAGGGGCTCGCGACATGATGCAGCACCGGTCGTGCTAGTCTTTAGCCTTGTCATCCTGACGTCGGACGGCATCTCCAATCATTAATAGCCACTCGCTTCTGATGCAGAACCCATTGCATTTTGCGACAACAAGAGACAAGATCTGGCTGGCCTTCTTGGCAGATCGAGAACAGTAGACCATATCACAACAATGACGAGGCGCAAGAGAATCGCGTCCAGGAAGTACACGTGGAAGCGCAGACGAAAGAAGTTTAGTATTTTAGTCCCTCCTTATCGAATTCACAGCGACAGAAGAGAAATATGCCTCGTAATCTAACAGTGCGGGGCCGAGATTTATAGGTCAACTCATTGATGCGTTGATTCATTACGAATCACATTCCGCTCCTGATATCATATCCTAGTCTCCCGACTCCAACAAGGGAAGACTCCCTGCTTGGATCGGCTCCTTCGACGATTTAAAGATGCTTCCACCGAGCACTTTGTTGAGTTGTTAAAGAAAGTCCCCTTTTACTGCATCGATTTCGCCGAGTCTGAGACCGGCGGAACACCATATGGGATAGGCCTTGCGTGGAGTCGAAAACCAAGCCCATGTCGCTGCCAGTTTCCGGGAATGGCATCGCTCTCCGAGCTGCTTTGAGGGGATTAGCCAGCACCCCGAGGGCCCTGAACATTGAACTTGACATATCTTGTGAGAGCTGTACCACAGTGGCATCACTAAGATGTCCTCCAATTTGCCTCGTCCTCCATTCCAATCCTCGATTCTTACCAGGAATGGTCTTACCGTCCGTTGACACCATGAACCGAATAGCATCGCCTGTGGCATAATTTTCAACCACACTGACATTCTCCTTCAAGTAGCCATCTACTTTAGCGCAGATGTTCATACTTTGACGAGCACTTTCCAACTCTTCTCAGAGCCTTGCAAAGTCAGCGAGATCATCTAGAGAAGCCACCATGATGTTCGACTTTGAAAGCATCCGGTGCATAAGATCTTTTATGTGTCGTTAAAGCTTTCTAGATGTCGTACAAAGGCTATCTCGCCATTGCCGTAATCCCTCGTTTATAAGTGGACCACCACTTGAACCGTTTCAGCATGTGCACACTGAGCAGCGACCACGACGCGTGACGACAACGGGCCGTCAAGTTCAAAATCCGATCGAAATTCTGCCAAGGTGACACGTCTATCATCCAAGCGGGCTCAACAGCAGCTGTGATGAAAGCTCCGCGTATGAGAAAGAGAGTGTCAACTAGATGAAAAAAAGGCCATATCACAAGTACTATATTGATGTTTAACTCTCTACGATTAGCTACGTCGCACAGAACGATCCCCACAAACCTTGCAAAAATGCAAGCCAATATTTGAGCCTCGATTTTTGCTTCCTTCTCGCTTATCAAGCTTGCGTTTTTCGTGACTACCCATTCTACTAGTCCTTTCAAAGGCAGTAAGGTCTGTGCACCACAATTCAATTCAGCTGGGGTCCAAGCGTCCCATCAAAGCTATACATATATGTGTGGGAAGCACGTGCGAATGAAGTACTTCAGTCCGCGTGGTCCATCTGGCGTTACTGGCCATGCATGCCGGAAACCACATCCCAGGCATTAGTAGAGAGAATGGTCTAACATCCATAAATGAATGGCAAGGATATGTCCCAGGTACTTATGTGTACCATCAGATTCACACAATCATCAATGAGTGAAGCCTTGCGTCAAATCGTGAGATGAGAATACCCCTGAAGTATTACTAGGAGATTGATTGGCTCTAGTAGTTAGCACCCAGTGGCTCAGGTCCGCGTTAAACTACAACTGAAAAATTGCCGAATCAATATGTGATCACAGCCCTCGCGCTTTTATGCTCGGATAGGTATTTTTATCATATCCGAGTCGAACACGTGCAGCGAAATTAAATTTGGATTGGAGGCTCAGAGGCTCCAATTGACAACCGTGGTCAAAGTCGTTGGATACCAGAGCTCAATCGTACTCCCAGCGATGATACACAAGCCCAAGCTCGACAGGCCTGCCACGTCTACAGAACGACTAAGCATAGCGCGTTACTCTAGTTTTCGACCTCGAGGAAAGGCCCGAAGATCATACTTGGAGATTGATTCAAGTTTTCCAGACGTCTTTTCCGGTTGCGCAACCTCACATAGGCTGAGCTCTCCACTTGCGTCGCTGTGGTCCGGCGTTGTGCCATTTTCCTAGCAAGTCCTGACAACGCTGACGGAATCGAGACCAGTCGTCGCTGTGAGGACCCATGCGCTCGACGAAAGACCTCAATAATTTACCAATTCGTGTCCGTTGGACTATACGAGGGTCAACCTCCCTTAGAGTCTCCAGTCTTGAGAGCGAACGGATGGCTCTGTTAAGCTCCGTTGGCTCAATGCGACAATTGTTCGGTAGTCTTCGTTCCAGCTTGCAACGAAGCCCATAGACTGCTAAACATTAGTCTGTGGTTCTTCCAGACGGGTCAGAATCATAGCAGGGCCTGGAGGGGAGTTCTAGGAGAACTCGGGACTCTGGGCTATTCGGACTTAAACTGACCATAAGTTTCAGACGCTATCAACGGAGCACTACGTCGGGCAGCTCGGCGCGCTCTTTCGCTGAGGATGACGGTTGGACTTGGCCGCCTTGTACCAATCGGTGAATTTAGGCGCGACCGAATATTTGTCTATCTTCCGTCAGACAGTAAACCAAGTGGAGGCTGCAGACTTACCAACTTCAGGGGCGCCACCGTGAATGGCCAACACCATGTTGTTTATTTTTGCTCCCGCCTGGGCAATTCCAAGGATAGACAGTTCTTGCCTCACAAGACGTCTCCCCCATCGACGACGACGCTCCGCTTCCATCCAATGAAGTCGAGCCGTGGATCCTACCTGGAACATTGCGGATAGCCAACTGACATTCGCTTCAGAGTAGGACCACAGTGCAGCACAGTCTGCTCGGATATCCAGAACATGAGTCAAAGGTGGGAGGCAGGTCCTGTTCAGAACACCATCCAAAGTGTCGCAGTCAACAATCTGCAGGTGCGTGCTGGGCATGATTTCTTTCAAGCCTTCCCATCTAATGTCGCCCATGCCCAACAGCCTCTCTGCATCAAACCGCACGTAAAGCCATGCGAGCAAGACAAACCGACGTGCAACTTCCGATGCCCTTACTTCAAGTAACAAGGCGGGTTCAAGCCTTGCAGGGTTGGCCAAACGAACGTAGGCGCAATCCCCTGCCGCATACTCTTGGCCGGAGACCACGATGCGGTCGACGCGATTTAGCAAGTGCCAAGCCAGAAGTCCTCTTCCATGTCCCCTGACACAAAAGCTTCCATCTTCTCGGCGTTCAACAACATAGTGACTCTTGACGGTGGCAACGTGGCTTCCTGTGTCGAGCCGTGATAATATTCGACCTCGCGATGACGTACAAAACTCATCTTCTAGAAACTCTAGATTATGCATTGGAATCTGGGTACAGCTAGTGTTTCCACGATTATCTTCTCTTCCAGTATGGCGCATTTCGCGACAACAGGCATGGGGCGATGCCCATGGCGATGTACAACTGCGCCTGCTTTCAGGCTTGTCAATTCTTCATGGTGTGCATTCGGCCAATTGCATTGTTAATCATCGCTTTGAAAGGTTACTTCGACCTATTCTTGTGGTTGCAGCCGAAAGCAAGACGGTTTGATAAAAGTTCGTCGTCCTTGAGGAAGCTCGATGCTGGTTCGAGAAGACAGCGCAAATGGAGAATATGGTCTAACGGTCCGGGAACTGTGCACTCGGTGCTTGATGACAGTGCTCCTAGATTAGAGGAGAAGTTTTTTACGATATGAATCATCAAGCTTGAAAGAAATACAACTCTGACTTGAGAATAACACGTACTTGGATTGAGTTGCTGTTGGAGGTCAGTTTGTCTCGCGCAGGCACTATTGAGAAGTTCTGCCACTTATCACCGCCTTTGGTTAAACTACCTGTTGCTGCCAAGACCCCTATACTCTGCCGTAATGATTCACCATACTGCAATCTACCACTAGCGCAGTTGTCAGCTCAACAAGGACCAAAACCTCAGCAGGATAGGGTCTTCCACCGGTTATTACAGCTCAACAAAGGCCTCAGGAGATGCGGAAAAAGCCATTTTAGATCGTCCCTACGCGTAGTTTATATAGGAGAAAGAACAGACTCCATGAGTGGAGAAAACAGAGACAAATTGACAATTCCTGAAGTGCATTTCTGACTGCCAAGCCTTCAACACTACCCGTCACGTCACGTGCGTCGCTTTGGGCAGGGGTCGGGCTATCGGTACCGTAAATGCTTTTTCGAATCGATGAGGCTTCATGTGGACCAGTTCACGATAACAGGCGTCCGGCAGACAAGGCAGACTCCAAGTGGGCAGTGCAAGAAGCACCTACTGGAGATATGTGTAGACAAGTGACAATCTGTCGACTACCATTAGAGGGGGATATGTTGGACGACGGAACAACGATATTCCGTTGCCCATAAAGCCTTGCGGAGCCTCATGAGATTACTAGGTGGCAAATGCCACTGAGGATCAAGTAAGTCTAGGGGTTTTCCGATTGATGCGATATCCGAAGATTTAGATCAGTTTACATAGAGATTTATATAGGATCTAGAACAGCCCACATCATAGAGAGAAATCAGAGACCTTGAACCATCCAAATGAGACTCACTTGCGGCCAACAGGATAGAACAATACAACAAAATATAGGACATAGAATCCTACACTTCAACCATTCCCGTTCGACCGCCTATGTGCTATAGAGGCATGAACCTATTAAGCCTCTAACACCGGATCACGCCCTACATTTCTACTTACGGAGTTCCCGGAACTCAAATCTCAGACCTCAAGTCTGCCTCCAACGCGGTTTCGGAATGGTGATAGTGGCCCACGGTCTTGCAAATATATCCTACTCAAGCCATCTGTACTCAGGGTGGACCTCTACTCGGGAATCATTCGTAGAGCGTCCATGATTGTGCCGGCTTAGGAGCCAGGATCTCAATTGCGCCAATATGCCGATGCAAAGAGTAGTATTTATTCTCCGGACATGTGCTTGGCCGCACTGTGGAAGAAGAACCGGCGTCGACTCAGGACCATCACCGGCTGAAGGAAAGTTGTGGTCATCAAGAATGTATTGAGTCCTAAGAATGACTGGACGCGCCTTTGGTTGTCCTGCCACTGTAGACGGTTGTGTTCGTGGTGGTGCAGGCCTTGCATGGGGCTCTGCAACATCTCTGAGCAAACACAAGGCGAAGCCCACAAGACGGCACGCTCGAGGAAAAGTGTAAATGATTCACAGTGACGAGATGTGAGACACACCAAGTTCCAATACGCACAGTTTTCTTCCTAACCATTATCACGATCATGGCCTCTGCACGCCTCAGAATGACTGCCACCGCCTCGGTTCCACTGCAAAGGCAACAGTTTACCTCCATCCTTACAACTTCACGTCGCCCTGTACCAACATTTCTCCACCAAGTTCAACAATCAAATTTGTATCCGTTGTTTGTTGGCGAAGACAGCATCTTCTTCCGCAAAACTCATCCATCGGATCGGAGCTCGAAACACATCTTCCTGTTTTCCGGCAGGGACATCAAGTTCGATTCGTTCTTTGAACTAAGGCAGGTGTGGAGTTTTAGCGTCGAAGCAGATGAGGGGATCGCAAGAGATGAAAAGTTCGAAGAAGAGGCAAGGGGCCAGTACGGGATGATGAAGGCAGGCGGGAGTGAAGTTGACGCCCCAAAAAGCTTTTCCTCGCTGCTCGAGTATTAGGTTAGACCGAGATACAATCGCATTTGGGTGCTGAACTTCCTCAACTTCACTAGATCTGACGCGCAGGGACGCTACAAAGAGTATTTGACGAGATGAAGGACGAGTGTGGGCTAAAGGTGCATTTCTTTGACGAGGGTACACATATGAACTAGGTGTGGAGGTCGCAGGAGCCGAGAATCGAATACGCAGGGAAGGCAGATGCGTTTGCCTTGTTGAGTTCCCCAGGAGGAGGAGTACGCGGGTTTCTGTTGTCAGAACAGGGGGCAAGGCGGATGTTGGTCTTGTGGAGGAAGGTTTGATTTTGACGAAGGAGATGCAAATGCCGCCAAAGGATCAAGCGATGAATCAGTGCGACACTTGGAGGTCCATACCAGGAATTAATCCGTGCCCAGCAGGTTATCGTTCAACTTGGTATAACGGAATTGAGGCTTTGCACGTCACATGGTTCCGCCATGTTAGCTTTCCTTGGACGCACTGGCATAAACATAAATCTCAAAAGCGATTATTCTCAGACTGCTCTTTCTCTGGTAGCAGGACATGGTCAGGAGGAGGTCCCTGAACAATTACTGATGCGGCACGACTTGGACTTTAAGACACAAGATGTTGATGGACAAACACCACTCAGCTGGGCAGTATTTAATCGTCATTTGAAAGTGGTTGCGAAAACCCCTTTGGTTAGACTCGATTTTCACTACGTTGGAACCAGAACACCTTTATCATGGGTCATCTTGAAACAACGTGACAGTATCCGAGGCCTACTTCTCAATAGATTAGGATACCTTACAACATATTTCTTCGAAAAGCCCTCTTCACAACCACTTTTGGTGACGAAACCTTCGGTCCTGAGCACTTTAACCTGGTATAGAACCGGGGCCCTGCAATTCGATGTGAATTCATGAGGCACCAGCGTATGCACAACTTGAACTGCGTGTCCAAGCTATTGCATTTCCACGGATATTCAACAAGGGCAGCCACATTTGTGACAACGTGTACCTGGGATTACCCCAACCCCTTCACCGTTCTTCTTGCACCGAGAGCATCGCACGCCGTTCATCTTGTCAAGCTCAGCCCAGTTCACGTCTCTCGGTCGTTGGACACCTACTGGTAGAAGGCGAACGGTGCACAGGCTAGATGCTTTGGTGACTGCGGTTTTGGAGAAGCTTGACCTCCCAAATCTGAAATCGATCCGTGGTTTTAGAAGAGCCATTGGGTCTGTATTTAGTGTACTTAAGGGGTGTGGCGGGTTGTAAACTTGGAGGGAACACGAAGGAGCGCCTTGGGTGGTTTCATATAATATCCCCTAGAAGCGTCGGTAAAACCGATGGGAAGGTAGGTCTCCCTGATGACAACCTTTCGATAATCCCAGATTCATGAAACCAAGTGTTGCCCAGGTGCTAGCCATGGCGATCTTCTTACTTTAGGAGACTATTTGATGAAGTATACATCGCAATGAGGCATAGTATGTACATTAGTGTGGGGAGTCAGCTCGCGGTTGACTTCTCACCAGTGGTGCCACTACCCTTGGCGATTCCCATTAGACATCTTACCGTGCATCCAAACTTGTCCTACAGCTGCATTACTCTTATGCCAATTATCAACTTTGCTTGTATTCTCTACAACTTTGGTTGGAAATGCTATCCAGTAGTTATCACTTCTTATTGCAAGAAGGCTGTTTCCAGATGAAATGCTCGCTTTTCGAGTCCCAAAAAATCAAGCGTTCGTATCGTGAAGCGCCAATCAGATTATCTCTAAAGATTTTTCTGGCCCTGTACTGCCAACCCAGCCTAGCCTTATGTTGCGGGCGTTCTGTAAAGTGCTCGGGCTCCATGGGGAATGTTGATGACCTGCGAGGTAGATCATTCGCTATTAGGAGAAAACTGGGGATTTTCCTGGCATTCTGTATATCACACATTAACTGGATAAGGTTGGAGTTGTCGATCGTTGGGCTGCTTTGCATTTATTGAAGTTCCTAAGAATCGGTGGTCATACGCTAACACTGGCCTTTTTTCTGACTATTTTAGCTCATTACTGGCTCGGATCGGTTGGCCGGGTGGCTGGAGAAGTGGTAAGCGGCGTTGTCAGATGCTGAAAACGTAAACGTGCAGTGACTGTTAGCCTGATTTTGACAATAAGAACGTACACTTCCCCCTGTCCCACTTGATATATCACAAGTTCCAATTGTAGTCTCTCAGTCCAGTACCCCCCACAATAGACCGTACGGCAACCTACCCTGACGATGCCATTTCCTGCATCACTTGAGAAGATTATTCTACGTTCGGGCGACGGCGTAAATTATCCAACATCTGGGGATGAGGTGATCACAGAGCATACTGGTTGGATCTATGATGTAGCCAGTGTGGATGAGTACCACCGGGGTAGAGAGTGAGCTCCAGTTCAACATCTTTATCAGAGTGTGAAACCATTTAATGTTAGCCTAGATTTGATAGTACCGCTAAAGGTGGGGATTTCAGGACGATCATTGGCGTCGGTCAAGTTATATCAGGTTCGTTTCGTCGTGCTATCCTTCCTGACTATGATCATATCTTACTGGCAGGTGTTGAGTAGGTTGGGACAAAGGAATTCTTGAAATGTCCATCGGGGAAAAGGCGGTACTATACATCCCAGAGTAGGTGCAATATGTTCAACCAAAAGATATTGACCATCGTAATAACTCTATCAGGTATATGGCATACGGTAATAGGTGGGTTTCGCAGAGGCCTGCTCCTTATTATAATTATTCTACAACATGCACTTCCTACCCATTTGGAAAGAACGCTGTTCTCTAACTTTCACTACATTCAGTGGATTTCCGGGACTTATTCCGCCCCAAACTGCTTTGGTTTTGTGAGTACCATTCTAGTTGGTGAAGCAATTTGAGCATCAACACGCGACCGCCATACCAAGGCTAAAATCCCATGCAACCAAGTCTAGTTGTACTGATCCAGTCTTGATTCAGTATCGTTGAATTGAAGGCCATCATTAAAAGAAGCCATGTTAAGCCGTCGATATGACTATCTTATTCGTGACTTAGGGCTCCTCACATCTTGGTTCTATGCTTTTGTCTTTGACTGGGTTCGTCAATGCAACAGATGGCGTGTAACAATCATATAACATACATATACCCTCGCCAACATAGCTCCGACTGAGGAAACTTCCACTATGAATGTGGTGGAAAAACTTACAGCCACTTTCTTCGTGGTACTGAATCGCTATCCAGAGTGGTCGAAGCGCATGAAAGTCCGGGCAGCGCATGGCGACTCCTTTGACAACTCCCTCGGAAAACGAGCGGAGGAAATCATGATGAGAAACGGGATTCAGGCGAGTTTCAACGTCACAATTACAGGTCGATGCCTAACTTCGGGTGCATTGTATGGCGTTGACCCTGGATAGGCTGTGGCACGCCTCTGGGAAAGTCCAAAAATAGAGTGACTAAAGTCAGAAAGTTTTGCTCTCCATCTCGTTGAACAGCAACGACCTGTCAACTTGCGTGGCTCATCACATGCACAACTGAAAATCAAGACATTGGATATCTTGACATCTCCATGTGCAATATCGGCGCTATGTAGAGCGGTTAAACCAGCTGCAACATCAAGACATATTTGTCTTTTGTCATAAGCCGAGATATGACTACCAAGTTCCATCAGAATGTTCTTGAGGGTTCCGAAAGGGGCATAATCGACGACCACGACCGGGATACGATCGTTCGCCCAATACCAGCCGAGTATTGTGACGATATTTGGGTGTTGCCGAAGAAGTGGCTTGCTCATTATGTGAATTTCTTTGAAAGCATGCCAAACCGACTTGGTGACTGATCCTTGCCCAGGCTGGCGGTTCATGAGCACAGAAGAGCGGCGCAGATATGTCAAATATTACACCAGTAACTGACGCTATCGACTGCTGGTGTTGAGATTACCCTTGTCATGGAGTAATCAAATCAAATCAAATCAAACGTACATTTAAAAGCCGTACTCTATTACAGTACCATCGCCATTCTCCTTTATAAATACCAGAATTTGATATCGATTTGGAAGGCATCTCAAAAAGATCGGCCAAACGACTTCGGTGCCCTACAGGCGCCAATACTCCGCCTTCTCAGACGTCAACATGATAAATTAACAGCAAAATCTATCCACCGTGGAGCCAAGTATCAAATTTAGCATTGACACTTACCGTCTTTTCTTCGGATCTTGTTCATAAAGTCACTATCTAAGACATCATTAGGTTAGTCTTTGCTCGGATGATAACTACACAGTCCTACGCACAAAGGTAACACGACCATTTCCGCTCCCGATGATGACAATATCGCGTTGGCATACCCATGAGCTAGAACGATATTCAGGCGGCAGCCATATTATTCTCTGTGAGCTCCATGTAATCCAGTCACCAGTAACTCCAAACTCGACACCGGATGGTAAGTCGAAGCTAGATGATCGCGTTGAGACAGTAGGTCGTTCTATATTTATGACTTGACCATTTGCGCGAATACTTGAGCCACTATCAACAAATTCAATGCGGTTGTCGGAGGTATGAGAATCGTGGCACAGTAACTCGACTCCAGTCGTAACATCCCACACCCGCACCGTCTGGTCGTATGAGCTAGAGGCGACGCGCGAGCCGTCGGGGCAGAACACTACGCTGTTAACCCTTTGAGAGTGTCCCTCGAGTGTCTGCTCGCACGCGCCTGTCTGTACATCCCACACCCGTACGGTGTTGTCGGCGGAGCCAGAGGCGACGCGCAACCCATCGGGGGAGAACACCGCACTGTAGACCGAGCTAGAGTGGCCCTTAAGTGTCTGCTCGCACGCGCCCGTCTGCACATCCCACACCCGCCCGTCTGCACATCCCACACCCGCACCGTCATATCGTCGGAGGCAGAGGCAACGCACGAACCGTCGGGCGAGAACACCACGCTGTAGACCGAGCCAGAGTGGTCCTTTAATGTATGCTCGCACGCGCCCGTCTGCACATCCCACACCCGCAATGTCTTGTCGCGGGAGCCAGAGACAACACGCGACCCATCGGGCGAGAACACCACGCTGTTGACCCAGTTGGAGTGACCCTCACAAGTTAGTAAGCACGCGCTCCACCGGTCTGGGATTTCTCTTATCACCTGGAGGCTTTGCAATGCTTGATCCTGGAAATTGTTGCGGACAATGCTGTCTAGTGGGCTGAAATCACCCTTGCCAGAGAGTCATAAACTTTTAAGGAACTCGCATTGTGGTGCTGTGAACCCCTGGAAGTAGTCGCAAGATGATAGAGCCAATCGCTAGTCACGTCTGACAGCTTCATCACCTTTAATGGCCCCAAGGAAATGACTAGTGCAAAAGTTCGATCCCAAACAGCTTCGTATATTGGCAGATACAGGCGACAGAAGAGGTCCAAAGTTGCTCTCGTTCGTCGGGACGGCATCATGCAAGGGTTTCTCAGCTGGAGGCATGGCACCGCACCTATCATTCAACATCGGCAACATCAGTTGACAGCTACTACTCATGACAAGGCGAGACATAATTGGGGCGAGATATCCCTTATAAGCGCTCACAGCTGGAAGAACAAGAGCTGGAAGATAGCGCAAAGCATCGACAGCTGCCTGGAAATGGCATTAGCTCGTCTCATATGTCATCGGTTGGAGTTATGGTAATGTTAAAATGCCCAAGAAATCGATAGTCTACCACAAAGCCGCATACACACTACGGTCGACCAGAAAGTGGTTGCTAAGGCCGCAAGATTGGATGTGAAGTTTGCCGTTACCGCCCCATCGTTTATAAAGAATCCAGAGGATTACAGAAGTATACTCGCTACTTCAAGCCCTACGTCACCGCTGTCAGAGTCCCTGGTCGAGCATTCACTGTAAATTCAGGTGAGAATAACTTCAGCTTCTCGCATGTCACCAACGTCTCGTCTGCGATCGCTCTCCTCGTCAGTGAAGCATTGATAGGGTCAAATGGCCAAGCTACTTGGGACGAGGAGGGTTATTATATCGTCGAGAGCAGCGAATCCTCATTCAGGGACGACCCAGTGCAAGTTGCCAAGACTTTACATTCCAAAGGCTTGATAATGTCGCACAGACGTGAAAGCATTTGCTTATGTTATCAGATTGTTGTTCAGCTTGTGCCATGTCCTTGAGCTACCAAATTTCGTGCAAATTGGCGATCCAAACCAATCTTCCCTCATTCTCAGCTACTCCTTTGTGTTCGAGGTGCGCCAGCGTAGCAGAGGCAATAGCAGGTTCAATGCCTTGCTCAACTCCAACGAAGCATCGTCATGGAGATGCTTAGTGCCACAGCGACTCAAAGTCCACGCGGCCGATTCATGATGCCATGCGAGCCATCCACGTCGCCTTCATCGGCGTAGATGGACGTCGTGTCAGCAGCAGAACCTGTGTTCTCGGTGCCGATAAGCTCTGCTGACAAAGGTGTCGGCTCCATGTAAGTCGAGGTGCGTCGCTTGGCAGCATGGTTGGGTGCCGTCTGCGAGGCAGATACGTCAGTGTCATTGATACTCGACCCCTGGCTGTAGTTTCCCGAGTTTGTCTGGTCATAGAAACCCCCCGGGCCCACGTGCTTTGGCGTCTCTGCTGCACGATTTGATAGATGAGACGCTTCGTTTGTTGCGTGACCGGTGATGGAGTGGTCCTCCCCAGAATTGCTATTGATTTCTGAGTAGAGAGGACGGTTGATGTGGTCCTTTTCGTCGTCTCCTGCTGAGGTTGCGCCGTCCTGAGCCTTGTCCATGCTGTGCGGGCCTATGTCCGACATATTTCTGACGTTCTCGGTGACGGAAGTTGAGATGTTAGATGCAATATCGCTGACATGCACAGAGCCGTTGGCAACGCTCTGCTTTCCATTCTGAGCCATGTCCCGAACGCGTTCCTTCGTGTCAACAGCAGTCTTTTGCGCCTGAGAGGACAGATCGCTCGCCTTAGCTATGGCTTGTTGGGCGAATTCTCTGACATTCTCAGTGGTGGCTACAGAAATATTGGATGCGTTGACTCTGACTTGCGCGGCTCCGTTTGCAGTAGCTTGCTTCCCACTCTGAGCCAGATCTTGGACATGCCCCTTTGTGTGAACCGCAGCATTGCGCGTCACGGAAGACAACTCATTGGCCTTATCCTTTCCATTTTGAGCAAGCTCTTTGCCGTTTTCCACGGCAACATTGGCAAGTTCCTGAGCACTCACCTGTGCATCGCGGGCTGCGGCGCGGCCTCGAGGAGTTGTGGCGAGGGTAGCGAGGAAAGATAAGGTCAAGGCCACCACGGTCAACCAGAACAGCGAGATGATTGGGAGCAGCCAATACAAGGCGGTGAAGGCCAGGAATGCCTACAGCTTGGTCAGTTGGATGGATTCCTTCATGAGTGATATTTCCCTGTTCTAGGAGAAAGACAGAACTTACAACGAAGGTTTTCTCCAGATCCTGGCCATAGAGAATCTTCTGAGCGTGGACGACGGCCCATTGGATGAGATCATGGACATCTTTCAGCGTGTCATTAATCAAGAATTCCTGACGTTAAACAGGGTGACTTACCCTTGCAAGCTAACCCCGGCTTTCCAGCTCAGCCCGAGTTCTGCCTCGCCAAAATTGACGAATAATCAGCCTTGTCACAGGCAAAAGCTGCGTTGAGGGAAAGGTCCGGGCTTAGAGCCAATCTCAGCCCTTTCCTTGAGTCTCTGAGTGCGGATCGTCTTGGGGTCATCCAAAGTGGCTTCGAAACTGCAGATCCAGATTCACCTCAGCCTGAACGTCTGAGCGCGGCCGACTTCAGCTCAAAATAGACCATGGAGCTTCATCACCCATCTAACATATTCTGACGCTGAAGCTTTCGTACCGGAAACCCAGCTGAAGCAACCCTCATTTTGTGCCACTTGAAGGCTTGCGAAGAGGGAGAACGAAAAGAGGCCCAAGTTTCATCTGCTGATCGCGCTGCAGTGGTCATGAGGCCGAAAGTTCGCATTAGGCTGAGGTGACATGTAGTCCTGCAGCCTTAAAAACTGAGGGGAGGGTAAATCTATGATACGATGGTAAGATAAGTCAAAGCAGTACTGTAAGCATGCAGCGAGGGCTGACTCTGATGCACCCTGGCTACAAACCTTGCAGGGCCTGCCTATTTACGAGACCTGACCACCACGAAATCAAGCGGTTCGCAAATCTGGGGGAAGGAACTTCTGTCTTTCCTGCACAACATGAGTTACCCTGTGCCGGCATTCGTTGGAAAAGACGAGATAAAGTAACGGCTTAGGGCGAGGGATTTGTGATTCGCTCAGGTTACCCATCATTACTTCGGATATTGGTAACGACTGCACCCTCTATGATCCGACTATTGGGTGAGTGGATTCTGGGATGAGATTCTGCCATTGCCTTTGAGTCAATGGCCCTATTTTGACAGTGGCCATGGAGCGGAAACACGCTGCTCCGTCCGAACGTGGGTGCTCAGCTCAACTTTACTCGTGCTGACAGTCTTCAGCCTGATGCTGCTGATAAGTCCAACCGGCCTTTGGCCTAGCCAAAGGCACACTCACACGTTTCGAGAAAGATGGCCTTTCGCTATGGCTTGCTCGAAGCAGGACACTAATGCACTGTGGTAGCGTGTATTTTCAAGTGGGATCGTGTTACGTACGATCACAGCTTAAACTTAGTTTTCAGACTCGTATAAACATCAATAAAAGGCACAAGGAGACCAGTATTTTCGTTCAACATTCGAAACCGCTTCCAATCTCAATTCACTATTCTAACATCAACACTTCGAACAACTTTCAAACTGTCTCGTCCACTCCACGGCTGGTGTGCTACTTTCCCCCGGCCCCACAACATGTCGAACAAGCCAGCAGCAAGGAAGCCGAAGGCCGACCGCGTCAAGTCAGCCGAAGACGCCTTGGGTGAGCAGGCTCTCAAAATCTTACTTCCACGAGACTGCAAGCCGGATGTGGAAGGGCTCAAGGTCAACCAAGCTCGGAATGAGCACGCCGTCCAATCCCGACCCACCACTCATTGTGCAACAGATAAGGGGATGAAACCTCGTTTGCTGAACATGCAGAACAAGAAACCCCATCTAGGTGGCCTGCAGATTGGTCTTTTCGACCATATCCCTCGTTGGCGCAAGAATGTGACTGTCAATTGGGTCGCTTTTGCAGATGGATATGAGACTCCTGACGACGCCCTATTTGCCGCCAAGGCAATGCGGCGTGCGACCGAGGAGTGGAACGCTCTTGACTTCGGTGTCCAGTTCAAACAGGTAAGCGCTAAGTAGGAATTTGCGCAGTAAAATGGGCCATGCTGATGTTGGTGAATAGGTCGACAGCCTTGAGGATGCCAATTTCGCGCTGGGCTATGGTGGCCAACCAGCTTCGCGAGACCGCGTTCTGGCTGAGGCATATTTCCCCACCGCCGATGATATCAGCGATGTAATTGTGTACAAGCTGCAGTTCAATCCGCAGGTTAAGCATGAGATGCATAATACCTTCCTCCACGAACTGGGACATGTCCTTGGCCTCCGACATGAGCATGCAGAGTGGTCGGGCAGGTTGTTTGAAGGCGGTTCCACTACGATTGGAACAACCAACCCCAAGTCCGTCATGTCATATGATCCCGAAGAGCCTCCAATCATCCGTGATTCGGACAAAGAAGGCATAAGGAAGTTCTACGCGCTCAGAGCCGGAGAGACCTTCGGAGGTATGGAAGTCGTCTTGTATATACCGGATAATTGATACTCGCCTGAGAGAGCGAGATACCCGGTCATTCAAGGGAACAGGGGACTTTGTAACCGGGCTGAGAACCATTGGGCATCTGTCTCGAGTAGTCATTGCACTGCCTCAGAGAGCCAGTATTTAATCGCGCGCACAATGCAATACTCCTGCATGTACTCCAGCCTGGCAGAAGATCTTGTCGCCTTGGTAGCAGGGCGTGGCCAGCGTTGGCATTCGACTCATTGCTTGGTAGTAATCTCGCTTAGGACTTGGCTTGTAAAGTGAGATGCAGTAACGACGAGTCTAGCATCCTCAACTATCGTAGTTTCGCGTTTGTGCTCTTGACCAGTATTTCAGCGTGATTAGATACCCCCAGCACAGCCATTCAATTGACCGGGTCTCTTGTCGGCCTGGCTTCGCAAGCCCCTTTGCCCAAAATGAAACTTTACCCTCACACTCAAGTCTTTACATAACACAAACCGATTGATTCCTCCTACGATTTACTATATCGACACAAGAGGCGCGAATCCCCAGGGGCAGATGCAGGTCTGACGACGAGGAAGACCACGCCCCAAGCATTACAATCGTATGTAATCTTGTGCAAATCGTAACGAGTCTACTTTTTGAGCCCTCACTGAAGTATGTCGTTCAAGCACGTGTGAGGTGATGGTCTTTAAGTCTAGAATAAGACTGGGCGGCCTCAGCTGCCCCTCTCGCGGCTACATCCTCACACCAGGGGCACTAATTTTGACCTCCGTCAACATGACACAGGTGACAATTGACAGGCATGTCCTTCAATGGCTTAAGACTCAAGGATTGAAAGAAGTCTTCAGGGCAAGTTTAAGCACCCTCCCTTTCGGCATTACTAAATTTAGGCGAGGTGCAAATTTATGGCGTCCTATTTTTGGTTACTGGGGAGCCCATCTTTTGGAGAAAGAAGCCTAAACTCTGACCGCAAATGGCACCAGGCCTTGTCGCTCGTCTCGTCGATTACTTGCTGTCGGTCGAACGGAGAATCCGAAAGCCTCCACTTGAGTCAAGTCTCAACCAAGGTATGCTGGTCGAGCTAAAAACAATACTTGGTGCTTGGCCAGATCGATATAGTTCTTATAGTGGTTTTGTGGTGATGTGATATATAATGTGGTGGGTTAAGATTGTGTGGTTGTGTGGCTGATTGTATCGCTGGAGTAAGTACGACGCCGACATGGCTTACCCATAAGCTCCAAGATATGCCTTTAGCGCACTGAAGGTCGTCGATTCAGAGCCGAGAGGGCGACATAACTAGGGCGCCTGGCGGGATTATCATGACCTGCGGCCGCTAACATCGGTATCACCCGATCAAACCACGAAGCGGCTTTACTTTGGTACGGACGTTGTCAGATATCTCCGTCAGAGCCTTAAGCTCCTTGAACAGCTTAACAATTATGGTGTAGACTACTCCTCATCCTCCTGCTACTGAAAGGGATAAAAATGACCTACAGCCACATTTCACAGATATGGAACTGGGGCTCGGATTTCTCGCAGCGATATTCCTGGTTTATACCTTTTTCTGGTCCAATCTGTTTGTTGTACGCGTCCTTGTGGCCAGAATGATGGCTGATCTTATTAACCCTACAACCGCCAAATTCGCAAAGCCAATGCTGGTCAAGGAAGGTAAGGTTTTGAGACCTTGTAAGGCTGTCGAAGGACCTCAGTGGATTGTCAAAGATGTCGTCGCACCCAGACCTGCGTCATGCGGTTGGGACCAAATTCTACGTCAGGCTGATACAATGTTTCGTCGAATCTGCGTCCCAACTGCATTTACTTAAGTGATGTGGACCCTTATAACAACTGGTAGTGTGCTTATATGGGAACCGATCTCGATACGTGGATTGCTGAGCGGGATGAGCCATTCATGTTGGAAGGAAACTGCCTACTCTCGTAAGCATCCCAAAAACCCCGGTATTACACCACGATCGAAAGCTGACCAAATGCTCACTCAACGGCTCGGAGTGTCGTATGCCCTTCGGCAATACGACGACCATCAATCCGGCGTGCAGCTGTACCTGTGATGGCCAATTTACCAATCTATCGGACGACAGATGTTCTGGGTACGAGGGTTCTAGCCTGTCTGATCGCCAGTCTTTCACCTGACCTTAGATCACCGACGATGTTTCACCCAATGGATGGCATGAGACACCGGTGCGGGAGGTTTTCTGTGACGTGATTGGAAGTGATGGGAGGGGGCAAGTTATCTAGGATACTCCTTGCATTCACTCCGATACTTTGTGGAGCGAATGCAAGGAGTATCTTTCAGATTTTATTTACAAGAAATAAGGTTCACATTAGGCGTATCACATCTCTATTCCCGTCAACGACCTTTGAGCAGCATCTACCCTCCGAATCCCACAGCAATCTTCCCATGCGTCAACTCATTTGCAGAGGAGCACCACAAAGTGTGAGCATCGTTGGGACAATGTGTCCAGCTGATGGGAGAGGCACATGGAAGTGAGAAGACAGCTTGGCAACAACGACCGCCTTCCACGGAATATATTGCCAAGGCATCACGACCACAACCTGTCTTCTGGGAGTGCTTTCGTCTTTGTGTGTGATTCTACGACAACAGCCACGACCCTACATAGGAACCTGTCTTTTATGTGTCGTGTTGTGTGCCACCCGAAGTCTGGTTGAGGCTGGAGGAATATTTTTAATATGACCTGTCACCTTTAGAAAAACCAGTCGAAACCAAGCTTCCCCATCCCCATGAGAACTTTGCATAGCGGGCGACTCACCAGCAGATAGCTGACTTTCGCGAATAATTTGCAAAGCGATGTATGAACACCCAAGGAGAGAAACGGACCTGTGCTTGTTAACTTCAGATCAGCATCAGAAATTCTTGTGTCCACGAAATGTGGTGTTCCGCTGGCGACAAAAGTTGGGGAAGCGCAGGCACAAAGGATAAAAGAAGGCTTAAGAAGGCGTCCGAAAATAAGGGGCGCTAGCCCTTTTGGGCTCTCCCGTGGTTTCATTTTCTATCTCAGATGCTCATTCAAAGTTGAACGTCGAGGTTTCATGGGCAAGCGTATAGCGCGAATGGCAATTCGCGCGGGATTTAATCAACCGCAATTTAGCCAAACACGAGTTGTCACGCGAGAGGGCGCCAGTTATCCAAAGACACAAGCTGGCAAGAGGTGGGAAGACGTAGTCGTCCAACATCGCCACGCACCCTACGATTGAATCACACCCATGATACACGAAAAATGGGAATCTACCTCTCCCAAGACATACTTTCGCAGAAGGAAAATGTTGCCGTAGGAAAAGGCACCGAATCGAAAGGAGGTGAGAGCGTTGGATGACAAAATCCCCGAAGAAAAGCTGCCGAACGCAACCGCACTGCCTTGCCGGGGACATCAAGAATTGGGCGATTTCCCACGTTCATTTCCACAGTTATCAACACTCATCTCTACGCTCTATTGCATGCATCTCGTCCAGAGTCTATCTTTCTCATTGCAAAGTCAAGTCCGATCTAACTAAAGGCACCCTCGAATTGACCCCTTCCTTGCAAAACAGAAATGGAACGCGAAAAGCAACATCACGGCGAACGCCTACCGGAAAGTGTCGAGCCCAGATCTGGTCCAAACATGAATTCCTCGGATCCGGCAGAAGTAACTGCAGTAGGGAAATCCATGGCACAACACAATCTGGTGCGATCTCCTCGGTTCTGGGCCGTCATCATCGCTCTTGGGTTCTCTGGCCTTCTTGCCGCACTAGAAGCCACCATCACCTCCACCGCGCTGCCCTCAGTTGTTGCTGATCTAGGAGCAGGCGAGCTTTATTTCTGGGCCGTTAATGGATATTTGTTGACCATGTAAGGGGAAAGAGGCTTGCCTCATCAGCGCTCGTGGATCAGAATGTTTCATCTGACTGTTTTACTTACACAGGACATCTTTGCAACCCTTGTACGGACAATTGGCCAATCTTTTCGGGCGCCGATATCCCATGATCTTTTCTGTCGCGGCTTTTGTTCTTGGGAGTGGTATATGCGGCGGTGCGAAAAGCATGGCCATGTTGATCGCTGGCCGCGTCATCCAAGGGGTCGGTGCTGCGGGAATCAATGTCCTTATCGAAGTTATAATCGCCGACCTTGTCCCTCTCAGGCAGAGGTCTGCCTACTTCGCTCTCATTTTTGGTCTGGTGTCTCTTGGATCCGGGCTTGGTCCCTTTTTTGGAGGCGTCATCGTTAGCAACACCACCTGGCGATGGGTTTTCTACTTGAACCTGCCGATTGGGGGTATAGCACTGCTGTTGCTAATTTTGTACCTCCAAGTGAAATGGAACAAAACGACAACATTAGCTACGAAAATGTCCCGCATCGATTGGTTCGGCAACGCTTTTTTTGTGGCAGCCATCAGCTCGATCCTGATCGCCCTCTCGTGGGCGGGCGCGGTATATCCTTGGTCGTCGTACCATGTTCTGGTGCCTTTGATTGTCGGCTTGCTGGCTCTCGTGGCTTTTCTCATCCTCCAAGGCTCATCCCGCCTCGCCCCTAATCCGACCATTCCATTGCACTTATTCCGGCATCGCACTTCGGCCACGGCGTTTGTGCTTACTTTCTTGCACAGCGTCATCACCATATGGGTACTCTACTTCTTGCCAGTGTATTTTCAGGGCGTTCGTGATGCGTCACCTGTCAGGTCGGGGGTTCAGCTATTACCCACGATTCTGACTCTCATCCCCTTTGGGGCCTTGGGAGGGGTTGTCTTGACGAAATTTGGCCGCTACAAACCACTGCATTTCGTGGGCTTTGCTTTCATGGCCATAGGAATGGGTCTACTGGTCCTTGTTGACGAGAACTCGAGCACCGGCGCCTGGGTCGGCTACCAGATAATCCAATCTGTTGGTGGAGGTATCGTCATTGCGACCCTGTTGCCAGCAGTGATGGCGCCGCTGGCTGAATCAGATGTCGCCCAGGCAACCGGGACGTGGGCTTTCATGCGCAGCTTCGGCTTGACCTGGGGCACAGCAATACCGGCCGCTATACTCAACCACCACTTCGATGTCTTGGCCGTGGATCACATAGCAGATGACGCGCTAGTAGCGCAGTTGAAAGGTGGTCGCGCTTATGAGCACGCTACAGCAGCCTTTCGAGCCACCCTGACACGAGAGGATCGCGACCAATTTGCCTGGGTTTTGAACGAAAGTTTGCGGCTTGCATGGCAGGTTGGCATTGCGTTCGCGGCCTTGGGCTTCTTCGTGGTAGCTTTCGAAGAGGAAGTGCCGCTACGCAAGGAGCTCGAGACCGAATTTGGTATGAACAACAGTAAGAACGAGAGTTCTGCCACCGAGCATCCGAAGAGTTCTCATTGATTCAAAGCATCTCCGCCACAGAGGCTCAGCTAGCTAGCTTATTTGCATTCTCTTAGAGTCAAAAAGACTGGCAGTGTCAGCATTTTCTATGTAGTCTTCGTCTGATTCTGGCCCTTTGCCTTTTCCAAAAGCTTACACATCTGTGGAGGTCAGGGTCACAAAGATTGCGCAGTAAACTTGCAAGCTCTGCTGTGGGAGCAGTAGTCTGAATTTTTAATGAAGGAGGAGTTGCTTCACTGTCCTCAGGTTGGCACGTAGGGAGATCGTCTTCTGCGTTTCCATTGTCGACAGCAGAGACGACAAATGAACGTTATTGAGGGTTGCTGGCGCTAACATAGGCTCAGATGTAATTAGTAATTCCGTTGGGATTCCCAAACAGTTCTGGATGCTCCCCAGATGGTGTTCCGCCATCTGAGTCATAATCTTGATATACAATTCCACTTTCATAGGAGGTAGCCCGAAGGGTTGGAAGTTTGGTGATCGTCGCAGGACATTGATCACATTAGGTATATTTTCCACGGCCTGGCGGATGCGATGATACATGGAATCGTAGACTTCAATGATTTGCAGATAGCTTGAGAGCACGAGGAGCATCATTGGTGTGCTGAGCAAATGTCTGCTTCCAGGATTGGAATTCTTTCGTCCACAGAGAGCTGTCGCTTTTGGCTCGTCACCTCTTTCTGCTTCATTGGAGAGTCCGCTGATCCCAGAGACTGAGTGCGCCATAGTTGTGAAAGCCGGTTGCTCTGACTGAAAGGCCGCCTTCTCAAGGATAGTAGCAAGTTCAGCTACACTTTGTAGAGCCCGAGCTATGGGATTCCGTTTGACTTCATGAGTCATTTTGATGCATGATTGCACATTAGATTTTTCCGTCCACGTATACGATTTCAAGTTCCCAATTTGTTCAGCGAGGTTTTCATTTAGTTGTGCGAGTCTGATGATCGCAGATTCCGCATCATCACCTTGGGCATATGAGTCGTATTCTCTGTCGGATATCGTGATTGAGGGAACATTGTTTGGTGAGCAATATCTCGCTTCTGCTGGGCAGGGTAGACCATTTCCGCCTAGCAGCTGAGGATCAAAGCTATTGTCCAAAGTTGGCCATGTACTGTCAATATTTTCAACCATTGACATGACTCCACTACTGTCCTCCCATGGCGATAAATTGGTGTAGGCATCAGCAAAAGTTCCAAATCCTGGAAATGCGGCTGTCGACATCGTTATCGGCGACACCTGAACTTTGGGTAGAGAACTTGTCGGACGGCTTCCAAGTGCTGCTGGTGATGAGACCGCGGAGTTTTCGGAGGCTGTTATCACACGAGGACGACCGACAGGACGAGCTTGACCCGTGACGCATGTCGCGCCCACACGACAACAGCGGGCACATGCGTCGTTGCCATGTGCTGGTGTCGGCCTGGGACAACGGAGCTTTTGCTCCTTGCATCGGTCACAAGCTGATCGCCTATGGTGGCTCATTTTAGAAGAGCGAATAGCGTGATTCGTACTGTCTTGACAGTGAGTCTGCGTGGTCTGCGTGGAATGGGTGGGAGTCAAGGCAATATCATATCGTTCCATATTAAACAGGTGTGAAACGAGAGACGGGAAAGGTGGCCTCGGCAAAGTATCCTCATACGGCGGGTTATCGGGACTGGTCGTCGTCTAGTCCGAGAAAGCTTGTCGGGGCGCTAAAGAAATTCTTTTTTTACTAATTTCCTCCTCGATGGTAATGGGCATGTCTTTCTTCTTCTTAGTCTTGATACCTCTGTCGCTGCACTTCTTCGCGACGCGGAGACTTTGACCTTGAGTGGTTCTGGCGGCGAGTAGCAGAAAAAGACCCCAATTACGAGATATCGCCGCTGCCTCTCTTTCTTCTTATGGGAAGCCGAAAATCTCGAGGTACGTCAAGATTAATAGTCCTTCTTCCTATTATGCGATAGATACGCCTGCTTGTTCTGTGAGATTTTCGAGATACTCCTGAGGCGCGCTAAGAAAGACGCGTCGCGGCCGGTGAACGCAGGTGAGCTTGAGGATCACTTAGGTACGACTATCCCTCCACCAACTGATATAAAGATAGTGACTTCAAATGCAGCGAGCTTCCTTCGAGAGAATCGACGCCAGCCCTGCGTTACCGATCGTCATCCGCCTCGACGTTTGATGAGGAAAAAGGTAAAGAGAAGAGCTGGCGAGAGGAAGAGGAAGCCTATCACGCTCTAGTGGCGGAAGAGGGTCGACCGTCACATCCTGTGAGTCTTGGCCGCGACGTGATGTTCGTGCTTTGACGAAGCCGACGTCTTAGCGATCGTTGGTTTACCTGGCTGTCTTGCGTCTAAGGCAGCTACTTGTTTCGAGAGAATCAACATTATCCATTTATGAAGCCCACTGTGCGTGAACGAGTCAGCAGAGTCACTCAGACTAAACGTCGCCTTTCGAAGTGTTTGGGGCAGCTACTTCGAAAAGTGTGTTTCGCATGGGGAAGGGAGTTACGGCGAGTGACTGGACGACAAGCGGATTCGACTTACTGCAATGCTGGAACGTGGGGCGTCGCCTTCGGACCTAGTCTCATACGATTGGGCGGTATTTGTGGCCAGTCCTTCAGCTCGCGATCGAAGCCATCGACTTCTACAATATGAAGATCACTTAGCTACAAAGAGGCACCTCATTCAAGAGCAGTTCGAGACTAGACCGGGTACAGACCGCGCGGTCGTGGCAAATTCTGCTTTGTGGTCAACGAGAAAGGTCCCCCGGACTTCAACTGAGCTCCCATAGACCTCGCTATGAACAGAGGGGGATGTCGAAGAATTTGTGCGCATGGCATGCCTTTCAACTAACGCAAAGTTACTGCCTTTTCGATTGGCAGAGATCCACGCACTTCCTTGTTTCAAATCGGCCGATTCATCACTCTAATGTAACTGGGCTTGGAAATCTGTGGGACTACAGTATGCAAACCTTCGAACTTTTACAGGGGAGACGTAATCGCCTACACCATGCCCGAAAGAGAATGAATATTGGCCAAGGATCGAAGAATACGATTACGAGACGGGAGCTGCGGGGCGCGGAGAATCGATGCGCGTATACTCTAAATTCCAACTCAGACCTGTCCTTCTCGGGAGAGTTGTTGAGGAAGCCACGACGGATTCGGGTATGCTAAACCGAAATTGTGACAAGTTGGGACGCTAAATCCTTCGCACAGCCTCCTTCAGTATAACACCGGTTTTAAATCAGTCCCCAGCCAATCGGTCCCGAAGCAAATCACGAATAATTAATCTCGGCCTGGCAAGATTTTCTGGTTTCGGACGGGCTCCGCTATTCGGGACGGGCGGTCTTCTTGCTCCTAATAACAGCCTCCTGATAAGGTGTACCTCACTACCTCGCCCTCGCCAACCTAGACGTGGCCGCAGTGATTAGTACGCGTAGCGTTTCAGTTATAGGATATTTCATACCAACTTCACTGTAGACCTACAATAACTAGTCGTTTCCTTGCTTTAGCCCGGGCTTATCAAGGGATTCCAAGAACTGCCGTCCTTGGATTTAACCTGGATTCATCTTCTGTGTAGATAATTATTGTAAGAGCAATCCCTTTCGAGCTAGGATTATGGGCTCTCCATAGTTGTTGCTTCCCTCTCTCTCAAGAACTCGTCTACGTAGGGAGGCTTATTCCCCAGATTATCTTGCTTGCGATTTCGCTCTGGTTGGATCGTTACAGTCTCTAGAACTGGCAGGTTGCGCCTCGTATCAATCAACGCATTCCGCTTCATGATGTTAGAATAGGGCACCTTGCAGAAGGTGGTTCTTATCTGTCTATATACGCTAAATTCGCAATTCAGGACAAACTATGTAATGGATTGCCGGGAACTTCTTGGCTCCGTAAAACTCACCATACTCCACCACTCAGCTCAACAAGGATGGAATGGTCTCCACGATTCAGCCGTATTATGATTCTTGCCAAGACGGGGCCCGAGGTAACAAGGCTGACTTCCTGATGTAGACGTCCGCAATGAGCCTCGGATGTCTAGACAGCACCAATATAGGCTGCGCTCTAACAAGATGACTGCACAGCTCGTTACTAGATGACAGGTATCAGGGGAAAGCTATTGAAGGCGCGGCGTCTCTAATTAATTTGCGTATATGTGAGATGAGCGGCTGAATTGAGCTAATCAGGTTGAAGAAAGTAATTAAGGACCAGAAATAAACAGGAGCTATTAGCGTAGGGAGATTTTCTAAGCCACGGGCATGGAGAGAGCCCAGTTAGCGAATCATTGTTGCCTTCAGCCCTCTTTCGCCTTGAAGGATATCCAGATGGAGCCTATTTCCTAGCACATTGATCCAACCACCGTCCTGGCGGCTGATTATCGCACAACATTCCGATCGGCTCGAAGGCCCAGATCGTCGCTCGATTAGAAGACGGGATTGGGAACGTTTGGGACTATGCATATCACACCTGTTCCAGCTCTAAAATTACTTACAAAACACACTTGCTTGCCTGCCTGGGCCTTACAAAGAAGCCTCCCTCTTCCACAGGAAAATCCTTTCAACTCCAACCACCAAACCCATCTCCGTTATAACCTAAGACCACCGTTGCAACTCGCTGAGAAGCTCATCTTGAGACGCTTTTTCCTTCATACGTCGTTCATGGCTCGGAGATGTAGGCCTTGCTGTGCGTTCTTCTGGTTCAGTTCCACTGAATACCAAAACAATGTAACTCCCATGACGATAGCCATAAGAAGGGCATCCAGTATATATGCCGGCCACTCATATACGATAAGATAGCTATCTTCACCTCCTTTATACTCCAATAGGCGATAAATACTACGCACGGTGATAAGGACCCCAACCAGATATAGCGACCACAACATGCGAGCTAAAGGTAAGTCTGACTGATCGCAGATTCTCCACAGAGGCTGACGACGAACTCTTACTTGCCACACGACTGCCACCAACAAAAACAAGAAGAAGATCAGAATCTGCAAAACTAGTCCAAAGAGGATGATATCTTGAGCCTTGTCGACCGTAGACTCCGAGGTAGCGTTGACCATGATTGAAACTCCGCCAGCCTGGACCAAGAAGCAGATTATATCACCGGCGACAAAGATCTTCGTTAACCAGGTGATTCTTATAAACGAATATTGTTGACCGCCCGCGGTAATAATCAAGCGGCCAAGAAACATATAAACAGACGCTGCAAGAAAGATTGGCGCAAGGAAGATGAGAAGCGTCTGGATGGTAAACGGGGTTTTTTCGTCGAGGTGGTAGTGGGAGTATGACCGAGCTAAGAAACCGATCACCTCAACTTTGGTAAAATTAGCAACAGGCATTGATAGTGGCCGAATCGCAACATACAGAGGCCTCCGACCACGATGGAAATTGCAGACCATCGTTTCTTCTTGAACAGAAAGAAAATGTGTGCCATCGTTAACAGACCGAAGACGATCGCCGCCGCCATAGCTGCAGGGATAGAAGGGACATATGTCTTATAGGGATTGGGGGAATTGCTCATAGTGCCAGATATTGGAAGGGTTTTGCTTAACGAACACTGAACACTTGTGGTAGCAGTGTCCATCTTTATATAGTTCCGATAACTACTTTCTAATGTTACTGCATGACCAGTTGCGGGTCAACAGCTAACCTGATATGAAACAGCTTGTCACTGGAGCGCTGAGGTTGCGTCTACATTGACGGTGGGGAGACTGTCAGGTACACCTTGTGCTTCTATTGAGCGCAGGGCCACCATGGTTGCCGAATAGTAGAGGGCTGTGCAAAATCGACAATCACCTGCTTTTCGAGCAAGATCACTTGACTGGTGACAGGTCGTATCACTTTACCCCTGAACGAGGCTGTGTAGAGGGTTTGGCGTCTCCATAACACGCTAGTTGAGATCGTCAGTGCACTCTTGAAGCCTAGATATGCTACGTGATGCGATGATAGATGTGCGGCATATTAGGGAGCAAAAGCCTTTGCAGTTTGAAGGCAATGTCCTTTTAGTTCGATCCTGCATTGGCAAGCGAGTTCTAAATCAATCGGCACTATGGCGTCTATGGTCCTATTGACCCAAAATCTGCGAAGAAAACGCAAACTGTCGTTGAAACTGTGGTTGTGAATCTCCTTCCCACAAGGCTGACTCGGTGTCACCTATAGGTGAAATTCACTGGGTCTCGAGCCTCGGCTACTAACTTTAATATGTACGAACGTTGGTGGACCCAATGCCATGGCTGTGCCTTGAC